TAATCATATGGAGAAAACTAAGTGTCTCTGATTTAATACCGTTGAGCCCAAGATGGAAATTACTAGCTGACAAGAGGTGAATATATAAGTTTCATTTGGACATTTCATTGGACATCAGTCATGTATTTCATTGTGAAGGAAAACAAACACCATGCACGAAATGCTAGATACAAATGGTTGCACAAACAGCACGACTGGACGGAAGACACAGTCAACACCAAGCTGTCAGCTCTCAGGCTGCGACGCCAGCCACACCATAGCTCAAAATGTCCAGCAAAGTCTAAACTCAGTGTACAGAGAAAGGCAATTTGTGGGAGTCAGTGTATTCTTTAGGAAACTGTGCTCTGTCAGCCAGTACCAACGCCTTAAAAAAGAGAAGTCACACACTTACCTCAAGAACCACAATGACAGCATGTCATTAATTCTTTAATAAACATAGAATCTGCTTAAGAGGTAATTTTTTTTTTTTTGAGACAGGGCTCTCACTTTGTTGCCCAGGCTGGAGTGCAGTGGCACAATCATGGCTCACTGCAACTTGCACCTCCCGGGTTCAAGCGATTTTTGTGCCTCAGCCTCCTGAGCAGCTGGAACTACAGGCATGTGCCACCACGCTGGGCTAATTTGTATATTTTTTTAGTAGAGATAGGGTTTTGTCACGTTGGCCAGGCTGCTCTTGAACTCCTGGGCTCGAGTGATCTGCCTGCCTCGGCCTCCCAAAGTGCAGGGATTACAGGTGTGAGCCACCGTGCTCAGCCTGCTTAAGTTATAATATATTTATACTGTGGTAGGGGTAGAAGGCCTAGGCTAGAGAGACAGGGTGAAATGAATCTAGCCACTGAATCTTCTTATTCCTTTTAGACTCAATTGTTTAGACTTAGGGTTTTGAGATTTGCTTCGGCTGGCCAAGGATTTGTGGCTTAGTGCTGTGAATCCAACCAAGAACAATAAAGAGATGCCGCATAAAGCTAGGAAGAGTTGGTGCACCTGGCTCAGTGACACTGCGGTATCAGATGCTCTCGGGCACTGGAAAAGTAGGGTTTCAGAGGCAAAGGACTGAGGATCAGCAGAGAGCTGGTGCCACTGCTATCCCGCCAACTCTCCAAAACACCTTCTGGCCAGATACCAATTCTAAGTTTGGGCTCTATAAAACAGTCACACAGTTTTAAACGCTAACCCTGAGGATTAAGAAAATATGCGAAGAAATGCTCTTACTTATAGCTTCGAAAGTAAATCTTCCCATTCAGTGCAGTGAAGTGCAGAACATACTCTAATCCAGCCAGGCGGACATTTGATACTGTGGGGCCTCTGAAGAAATCTAAAAGCACATATTAAATTGTTAACAAAACAAAACAAATACTTGCAAAATTCAGTTACAACTGCATTCTAAACAGTTTTGTTCCAATACTTATCTAAAAAAGCACAAAAAACGATTCCTGAAAAATGTCGGAAGGTCTCACCCCTTAAGCATTTAATCTCATGACTTTATTTCTGTGTTCAGTTCACTGAGACATTTAATGTTTCAGTTTCGAAGTTCTTCCTCTGAGTCAGCTCGGCAACAAAAAATCATATCCATTAAGAATATTAACTTTAAAAAAATGTAAATCAAAGCATAAAATTTTAACCTATAGGTAGATGAAGGTAGCAAATTTCTATAAAAATGATTGTTCAAACTGACTATTAAAATCAAATTAGCTTCAATTTTTTTTTCTATGAGGGAGGTCAACAAGAAAAAAATTCTAAGAAGAAATTTTGATTATATGAGCAAAGGATAAGAAACTTTATAAACTGTTAATGCCAGAAAAGAAACTTGGATATTAGGGATAGGCTTTTTTCTCACAAAGTGGTAATCATACCACTGGTGGCACATGTGAGCATTTTAATGATACAAAGCCAGATATAATTTACTACATATTTATTTTATCCTGTACCATTCTCCATTTATGACAGGGACATAAAGTTTCCTTTTAAAAAGAGTAGTCGGCCAGGCACAGTGGCTCATGCCTGTAATCCCAGCACTTTGGGAGACTGAGGTGGGCAAACCGTTTAAGCTCAGGAGTTTGAGGCCAGTCTGGGCAACACGATGAAACCTCATCTCCACTAAAAGTATAAAAATTTAGCCAGGTTGTAGTCCCGGCTACTGGAAGGGCTAAGGTGGGAGGATTGCTGAACCACTGGACTCCAGTGAGGGCGACAGAGCAAAACCCATCTCAAGCAGTAACATAAAAAGAGGAGTAATTAAAAGAAAATCTCCAGTGAACTGCACGCTATAGATACTACACGGACTTGGCTATGAAAGAAGTTTGGAAAACAAGTGTGATACCTTAATTTTACAGCTGAGAAAATCGAACCTCAAGAAGGCTAAATGGAAATTCATGAATAACATTTGACTAAGATAAAGTTCTATATAAAAATGTATCCAAGTTTGCTTAGGAAGAGCTGCCCAAGGCAGGTGACGTAGTAAGTAGGAAATTTTATTCTAGTCCCATTCTGTAGCCACCTAGCATTTTCCTTCCCTCTTCCCATTAGCCCATAAGATGCAGATGATCTCCATGTGCACAGATGTACACATCTTTTGTTGTCTGCTTTTCCCTTCTTGTGGTTA